TAGTCATTACAAGTTACGCACGTTCCATTTTGCCTGGGGGACATTTAAAACAAACCAGTCTACAACACAATAAAAAATAAATGAATAAACACAAATGTTACAGAAATGTAAGCATCACCACCCATTACAATAATAAAAATAGAATTAGGTCAAATCTGGGAAAGCAGTATGATAAAAGTAAATGTATTTGTATTTATGTGTTGATGACAACCAAATTGATTATAATAAAACTTAAAAAAGGGAGAGTGTAAAATGCTTCCTAGTACAAGTTTCTTGAATATCGCAGCTATGAAGAGATACAAATTTGACTTACTATTTGGAATATAGGTAAAATAACATCCACTCTCTACATAAAACGAAAACAAATGAGTGAGCCAGACTTTGGACAAACATCCACTTTTAAAGGCTTCATATAGAATGTGATTATACCAGCAAAACTGCTACTATGTGCACAGTATAACATATAAACCTCATTGTATTGACAGGCTGTCTTCAAACTCAATAAAGTTGTAATACAAAGACAATCTGCACACTGTAATTACAGTTCCTTTTTATTTTCCCATTTATGACCAATATTTCAACCAGCTGCTGGAGATCTATGTGTCACTTTCTCCGGACTCATAATTTGCCTAATTTTCCTGTTTCTTTAGACTGTGATGCAAACACAGGTGAACACTGGTCTCTGGGAACCTTTTAGTTCCTTGAGAAAAGTTCCTAAGACTAAAAGGTCCAGGTACTTTTGGTTGAAACGTGGCTAAACACTAATTTCATTGCAGCAAGAGTCATTTAAAGGCAAACGCAACATGTCCAAATGTTAAAAACGACTTTCTACCACATTTGAACAAATTATGTTATAACAAACTGTATATTATAGGTGTCTTATACAAACTTTCAGTCCGCAGCAACAACACTTTTGTGAGAGCCCTCTGGAATTCTCTGATCAGCTCTGTGCAGGAGACTACCACAGTCAGAAGCAACTTAAGAAGGTCCCCTCTGCAGTAGCTTTCTGCCAAAAGCTTTGGAATTTTACGGATTTGTTTAAAGATTCAAAGTCTGTGTGTGTGTATGATGTGTCTGGTGATGGGATTTGATCTTAAACCTTACTACTTCATGTGTGTGCTCAGTGAAGACTTATAATTTTGATAATAGCAGCATTGCGTTGACAGTTGGATGATGTGATTTGGTAACATGTGTTTGTGGGGACCCCCCCAGGCCCCTTTTGACCCGGGGCCCTAAATAAACCTGTGACACACTCCTGCTAAAGAGGTTCTTGGAAAGTACAGAAAATTAGAATGTTTATTAATTCATTTTAACTTTCAAACAGTTTCATCCTCTGTATGAAACTTGTCAGTGTAACTACAGCTGTTCTCATGAGCTCCTCTCACAGGCATCTCAGCCACAGTGCAACCCCTCACCTCCAATAACAAACCAACTTCATCATCGATAACTCCTTTAGCTAGCTGCTAGCCGACTGTGGCCAACGTTGCAGTTTCAGTGAATATAAACGAACATAACTTTTAATCGACTGTTAAATAAGTTCACGGGGCCGTTTGGGAAGATACGCGCGCAGATACCTTCCTCTTGACTGGTTATAACACAGGAAACCACACTAAAGAACAGGCTTCAACGTAGCTTTGAGGCTTGAGCTCGCTCACGACTACATTTCCCATGAGCGAGTGCGGCTAGCGTGTTTTTGTAGGAAGTGCTCCTGTCACGGCTTTACTGTGGCATCCGGTCGAGGAGTAGAGGACCGAGCTCGGACCAGAATCAGCTCCGGGCTGCGGGCACACACACTCAGGCAGGAGGCCCGGCTCAGCTGCAGGAGGACGGTGCGCACCCGAGAGAAACCCGGAGGTGAGGAGGTGCAGGGTGAGGAGGAGGTGCCGTGCATGTGTGTGTTTTAAGCTAGCAGACCTTGGACACCAAAGGGGGAGGCTCGTCCCTGACGTGCGTAATGTACTGGGACTGTAAAAGCGTCGCTAACGGTTCAGTAGCGCCATTGTGAAATCTGCGGTCCGCGCGCTGTGCTGTTCCCAGATATGATGAGCTGTGTTCGGCGGAGGAGGAGACTCTGCACCGCTGCTGCTGCTGCTGCTGGTGGTGGTGGTGGTTGTTGTTGTTGTTGTTGAAGAACTGAAACAGAGCAGTGGTTGTCTGTGCTGCTCACCCCCCCTCCCTCTTTCTGTTTCTCTGTCAAGTCCACATGACAGTAAATTCTTTAAACCTGCCTCCCCCCTCTTCCTCCCCCTCGTCACCCTGGTTTACACAATTACAACCTGGGACTAACTTCACTGCTGCTGGACACGAGTCACTGGGAATGCACTGCTCTCTTTAAAGCCTCTGTGCAACTAAATCACATACAATCATGTTGTATGGCAGAAATGTTGTTTTGTATAAATACACAAAACATGAAAACACCTCTCCATTTATGTTAGACAGTGTCTTTTCCCACGAATGTTGATATTGTTGTTTTATTCTGTTGATTGCTCACGTGTGACCCTGAGGTTTCGGTGTGTTTTTCCTCCTGGTCATTAACGAAAAAGTTGGTTCACCTAAAAATATGCACTAATCACTGCTCCGTTGGAGGGGTGGGTGATGTGTTTGAGTCCACAAAACACTTTTAGATTTTCAGGGGTAAACAGCATTATAGCCAAGTCCAATATTACTGAAGTGACTGGTGACCACTTCTTCAAACTTCAAACAGGAACAAAACTTGAAATGCCTCCAAACTGCTCCTGTGGTGTAATCCAAGTTTTTGTGAGCCTGACGTTCAAATTGGACTTGAAATGAGGATATTTACATTGTGTTTTTAGCCTAAATGTCCACTGTGATCCACGTGTCCTCCAGAGGACCTATGAGGCAACGTGTGTTTATCTGCTGTACATGTAAAATTTGACTAATTGCTTGATTATTTAACTGTAATAGTGTCCTGATGAAACAATGCTAAGTGTACAAATGTATGAAATTGGATATAAATGTACACGGTTCATAGCCGGTCTAAATGGACATCAAAGCACAGAGAATTCCTCAGTATACACTTCATTTGTCTTCGTTCAAAAGTATCTTTGAATTAGCAACCATTTAAATATGTCAAAAAGGAAAAGTCAAGGTTTGCGTTGTAAAGTGAAAGTGGTGCCACCTCTGCAAACATCATGAAAGAATATACTCCCTTTCTCAATGAAATGTTCAGCGTCAGAGGAAAAAAAAAGGCACCAATGTGACATCGTTAATAACTAGGTCAGTTGTGAAAGTTGTCGTCTTAACTTTCTTAGTGAAAATCCTGATGTCTTCGCAAGAGATGTCCAAAACGGCACACTGGGACGACCTTCACTTGTGGACAGTAGTGGCTGGGAATGCACTGCCCTCGTTAGAAGGGTCTGTGCAACTAAATTACATGAAACAATTTAAAGAGATAACAATGCTCATTGAATTTGTTCTGTCATTGTTCTATAACGAACAGAGTTACAGCACAATCATATAAAACCCAATGTCGAGAATACAGTTCACAGCGTCTCTACATCACAGGGAAGAAAATTTAGTTTGCAGTGAAACAATGCACCTGTGGTGTATATCCAAGACCTGTTTTGAATAGGGATTCTGTTGTTTCATTTATTTTCCACGACTAAGACAAAAATACATTGATAAGCCACAACATTAACATCCTTTACCTGTTGTAATATTTTGGCTGATTGAAGTACGTGTCTTATGTTTCTTATATGCATCTTTGGAACCTTTATGTTTGTTATGTCATGTTTGCGCTTTTTAGGTTTTTGTAATGAATGCTAAGTGTGATGATTGTTGGCAAGTTTCTAAACTCACGGTATTGTCTCATCAGGCAGTCCTCAGTCCCAGCCTACGTAGTGTATCACCGCTCCAGGACGGGCCATGAATAAACAACCAAGCAAGGAGAGTCTGAAGGACAAGGTGAAGGGGATCTTTGGTCTAGGGACAACGCGCCCACCGAGCAAACAGAGTGATAGCAAACCATCGGAATTTATTATTACCACAGACATCATCAAGGTGTGCAGAAGAGACCATGCACATTCATACACACACTCAAACCCATTGTGCAGTTGATTTTTTTACCCATCATGTTTTTCGGGTTCTCTCTCTACCCCTGTGTCTTTCAGGAGCTCCATCCCGACTGCGGCCTGAGCAATCGCATTCGCATGATGAACCACGTCTGCGAACTGGCAAAAACTAAGAAATTTGAGGAGGTGAGTCTGCTCTGGGTGTCACATTGTGGTACAGCAATACATGCAATCTTCTGTGTTTATAAAACTGTTCAATTGTGTGCGTGTGTGTGTATGTGTGTTTTCAGCATGCAGTCGAGGCAGTATGGAAAGCTGTGGAGGACATGCTCACCCCAGAGCAGCCGCCTGAGGCCAGACATGCTGTCTTGCAGCTGCTGAGGGCCATTATACAGGGACAGGTACACTATATAGACCCAGTGTGGACATATACACAAGCAAAATGCAAACGTAGTTCTTGTCTTCTCATAATGGCACATTCACCTTTTATTTGAAGGGCGAGCGACTTGGCCCTCTGAGAGCCTACTTTTTCAAGGTGATCAGAGATTACCAACCCTGCAACGAAGACCTCTCTGACCGGCTGGAAGTTTTCAAGGCCTTAACAGAAAATGGAAAAGACATCACATACCTGGAGGAGGATATAGGTAAAGCTGTTTTGAAATTTCTCCCTATTATTGTCCTGTTCACTTACCTTATCCTTTTTTAATTGAGAACTGCATTTTCAGCTCCGCCAAGGGGGTTATGATTTCACCTGTCGGTTTTTCGTTGTTTGGTTTGTGTGTTTAGTTTGCCAGCAAAAAACGACTTAACAACAAAAGTTGTTGGCAGGATGTGGTATGGATCAGGGAAGAACCCATTTGATTTTGGTTTGGATCCAAGAATAACTTTCTTTAACATTGCGAGAGAGGGTGTTGTTCAACATTTTCACTGTTGTCCCAGGGAATAACCAAGGATCTTGATGAATAAACAGGGAACTGATGGGATGAGTGTGTGGAATTTTGTGCAGCTTGATTTAATTTAAAGGGACTTTTGGGCCTTGGCGGAAGTATGAAACCATAGTGAGTGCCATCCTAGTTGTAATTTGGATTCAGCAATTCAAATCTAGATTTCACTGTCAAATGCAGAGCAAACACCGGTTTGCAAACACTTTGTCTTTGTCATGTGTCATGTTTCAACTTGTGATCACTGTTCCCCTTTTGCAGATGATCTTTGTATTGACATCAGCTGATTGTTAAGTTCAACTAAGTTTGTTCATAAAGGATCAGTGTGCAACCATTCAATCAATCAATCTTTTTGTATAGCACTCTCTATTCATACAAGTTAGTGCAATTCAACGTGCGTCACAATTTACTGATTGATGGATGAAATGACATCAAGTGAAGTTACATATTATCGCCACCTGAATGGACCTCGTCCAGCCTCTCCTTCCAAGTGGCCTGGGGGTATAGCAGAAATGATCAACTTTAGAGCGAGTGTTTTGTTTGTACATATAAAGCTACTGCAGAAATATGGTGGTGCAGCATCGTGGACTATGTGCAAGAGGACCTGCTCCCACTGTAGATACAAAAGGGCAAATATTTAGAAGTGATTGTTAGTTGCATCTACAATTTGGATTCAGATATGATGGTTTTTAATTAAGTTTTGAATCCTCAGTTGTAGCTGACAAATCCTGATAATATATATTCATAATGTTTGAATTTATAACTTGGAATGGCACAAATAGTCTTCCAAGCACTTTATTTACTGGTATGTTATTTTCTGTCCCAGCTCGGTTTGTCCTCCTGTGGATGGAAATTGGCCTCACCTCCGACTTTCTGCACGTTCTTGTAAATCTGGTGAAGTTCAACAGCTGCTATCTTGACCAGAATGTCTCCACCATGGTCCAGTAAGTCCAACATACAAAGAGCAAGTACATGGTTTTGTGTTTCTCTTATTTATGAAATGTTTGTGACTTTTTTCTTGCTCTGTTGTGCCATCTGCAGGGAAATCTGTTTCCATTGCAACAGAACAACATCGTCAACAGATATTGAGGTGGGTGTTTTTGTTTTAACACAGCTTTACTTAAACTCACTGGAGCAACTATAACTGCAGTGCAAATGTAAGCTGAAAAACAGTTAACATACTTTCTTCAGTTTTCTTTTTCATCTTCAATATTCAATCCATACATGCTGCCCTGCTCAATAATTATAGGTGTAGTTTCCTTCTTTTTCTCAGAAAAAAAAGATAGGATCTTGCATTAAATGATGCAGTTCTTCAGTGGAGCTTTAAGCCTGGTTTACGCTGCACGATTTACAGTCTGATTATCCTGATTTCCTGACAAGTTTTGCAACTTGAAAAGAAAAGGCCCTGATTGGCACTCAATCGGCTGTCATCGTTCACTGTTTGTGAACTCCTCAAAGACGTGATTAGGGAGATTAAAGACACCTACATGCACAGAGGGAGGCAATCTTATTTCATCAGTGTTTCTCTGATTCTCAAATGTTAGATACGTGCAATTTCACGTTATTAATGCGCAGTGACATAATCACACCTCCACTTATCTCCAGGTTTTGGAGCATTCTGAATACTTTTAAGTGCCAAAGATACGTGATACAGGAAACAGTTTACCTTTTGTGGAACTTGGAGATATACTGAAGTAACATCATGTTTTCTTAATGGAAAACCTCATTTAAGGCAAGGCAAGTTTATTTGTATAGCGCATTTCAACAATAAGGCAGTTTTGGTTGTTGTCATTTTGCATCTATTTAAATAAATCAAACAGGACATTGTAATTGGATTTTTATGGTGAATATGTAATGTTTAATTTTAAACAATTAACTGACAGTCTGGTGTAACAGGTTTGTAATTAACTGCACTTTCCTCCAATTTTGACCCTGAAAATTGCAAATGGCTTTATTGTAAACAATTATCTGAACACCATCAATAACCATTAACTACATAATTAATTCTGTAGCACCACCTATTTTAATCCTGAATATATGAACCTCCAGAGGATAATTCTTTTCAAATGTCTATCGTTTATTCCAAGTACTGTTTAATAAGAAGATAATTCCTTTGTATTCAACACCTGTCTCAGTACTGAATGTAATATTAGTGTGTGTCATTATGTGTGTGTATGTTGTGTGCAGGTAGCTCTACAAGTCCTGGATGCGGTGGTGTGTTACAATTGCCTGCCTTCAGACTCTCTCACCTTCTTCATCATCACACTCTGTCGTACAGTCAATGTCAAGGAGTTTTGTGAATCCTGCTGGAAGGTGAGACAAGTGTGCACATACACATCCATGCACACACACTTCACTTGCATTTTTGAAGTGATTTGATGGAGCATAATTCATAATCACGTCTGTTTTTCTTCTCCATGCTGTGCTGCTCTCTGCTTCTCCAGCTGATGAGGAAGGTGTTGGGTACTCACCTCGGCCATAGTGCTATTTATACCATGTGTCGCATCATGGAGGAGAGGTAATGTTCCAGCTTTATTCATACATCTGTGTGTGTGGTAAAATAAGTATCTATTACTGTGGAGAGGGTCTATGTGTGCATCTCTTTAACAACTTACAATCTTCACCAGGGTATACATGGAGGATGCACCACTGTTGAGAGGAGCTGTGTTTTTCGTTGGAATGGCACTGTGGGGCGCACACAGGCTCCCTGCTCTGAAAAACACACCCACATTGGTTCTGCCATCTTTCTACAAGGTGACACACACATAAAAAAAAGTCTGTGGCATAGGTTTGATGTTCTTTTAATTTATTTTTGTAGATAATACAATCAGTATTTTCTGTCATACTCGTCTCCAGTTCTAAGGAGCTGAGACTAACACATAATGAGTAAAGTTACATAAGAAATGACCATGGTGGTCTGATAAAGCAAGCTTATACTTGATGCTATGACGGTGAAAAAAGCTGTTGAGGTGACTGTTGGTGTCTTATCTCTAATACAGGCCATGTCGTGTGCCAATGAGGTGGTGTCCTATGAAATCGTCCTTTCCATCACCCGACTGATCAAGAAGTATGGAAAGGAGCTGCAGGTGGTCACCTGGGACATCCTGCTGGGCATCATAGAGCGACTGCTGCAGCAGATCCAGGTTCAGACCAATAAATGGTGCACTTGCACATAGACGCAGAAGCTGCTTTCAGACATGCAAGCTGCTTTCCGAACATTTTCCTGATAATTTTACAGAGGGGCTTGAACCTGTAGTAAAATGTCAGAAAAATGTCAAAGTGAGTCCATGTGAGAAATTATCAGGAATATTCACAGCGAGCAAGTGAGCATGTTGATTACTAACATGGGACAGATGTGAAACTGAATGAATATAGATATCTCTGGATGAAAAAGGTGTCATACACGTAGAAGATGCAGACGAAGATGTCAACTTGAAGAGTTCAAGAGCAGACGCTTGTGTCGATGTGCTGTGAACAAAAGTAGAATTTGTACCACACTTGCTGCCTCCTGCATGTTCTACCCAGGTGCTCACTACCTCACTTGAACGCTCTGGAAATGTTCCTTTTGTTGTGAACGCATTTGACCTGCACAGTCTCCTGCTGTGTTATTCATATGTGAAAAGCAAACTCTGGAAAAAAGGTCAAATTTTACCAAACGTTTTCCAGAGTTCATTTCTGAAAACACCTACAGATGCACTCATGGAGTAATATAACAATTCTTGTTTGACATATCAGTCTTTCTCATCTGTCTTCACAGACAATAGGCAGTGCAGAGTTGAAGTCCATCGTCTATGAGCTGTTGACAACAGTAGAGGAGCTGTACGAGCAGAACGGTTACCATGGCTCCACAGAGAAGTTCTTCAGTCTGGTGGAGAAATGTGCTGACAAAAGACCTGTTAGTTTTTTGAGTAGCTGTCTCGCCACCCTGTCATTTAACCCTTCTACATACTTCTACATCTTATTTTAATAACGCGCTTTTGTGTTTCACAGGATGCATCAGTGCTGACACTTATCTCATACAGGGCCCAGTCTATTCAGCCAGCCAAGGACGGCTGGATTCAGAGCCTTCACCGCCTCATGGAGAAGTTCTTCAGGTAAGATACCCACATACTCACAGTGATGATTATACATCGAATACTTTACTTTATTTTCTTTCTCTTTGATAATCCTCAATCCCTGTCTCGCCCCACCCCTGCTGTGTTATCTTTCCTGTCCACCTCTTTTTATCCCACTGTCTCTCTTAAAGGAACGAGACTCGCAGTGTGATAAGGATCAAAGTGCTTCACATCCTGTCCTTTGTTCTCAGTACCAACCGACAGCTGTACGAGGTCTGTACACTGATACACATGCACACACATTTTTACATTCTTACTGTCAAGTGTGCTGTCAGCCAACTTGTATGTACAATCCACTGTCGAGACACAGATTTATTCAGTCTTCTGTTTTATCTGCCATGTAATAGCTTAAGATTTGAGGTGTCATACATAACTGATGTTGTCCGTTTCTGTTAATTAATGTGTGACTGTTTCGCGAATTAAACAATTTCTGCAATTTTTTCTTCTTCGACCTCTTCCAGGATGAGCTGATAGAAATGGTGGTGATCCCCCAGCTCAGTGGGATAGCTGAAGACCGGGACCTGGCCGTCAGAAAGCAGGCCACCCAGCTGCTGGTGGACCTGGCTGAGGGCTGCAATACGCACCACTTCACCAGTCTGTTGGACATCATTGAACGGGTACACAGTCTCTTTTTTACACTTCAGTTCTCTCTGTTTTAGCCAAGATTAGAGACATAACTCTGGTGTTTGTTTTTTCTTTTTAGGTTGCTAGTCGCTCTCTGATTTGTTCAGGGTCCCTGGAGGTTTCTGAAAGAGACCCCACAGCAGAGTCTCCTATGGAGGACATCAGGACTGCTATACTGGGCTTGCTGGAAATCCTGCAGGTAGACTCCACACGTATACTTGTTAAGGACTAGATTCGATAAGTTATGAGGGCAGTTCTTTTCTCCTTACCAGTTTGACTGTTTGTCTATACTCTACAACCATAACATTGCTCTTTGTTTAATTTATATAAGTTGTATTTGAAAAATGTTGTGAGAAGGACAATATATGTCTTAACTCTTGATTTATATGTTTGAAAATTGAGATGATCAAATTATGGAAAATAATAAAAAATGGAAATACGAGCGATTTGATGATCATCTTCTTTTTCTCTCTCCTGGCAGAGCAAGCTTTACAGTCTACCAGCCAACCATGCCAGTCGTGTTTATGAGCTGCTTATCAGCCACCTGCAGCTACACTATAAAAACAAATACTGTTCAGCTATTGCTTCCAGCATTAGACTACAGGTAGGTGTAATTAATTTTTCTCTGCATATTTGTCTTTCACTTCATGTGTTATGTCATGTACAAAATAATTTATTTTCGTTTTCTGTCTTCAGGTGTTTGACTTTTTCCTGATGATGCGAGCAGACTCTCTTCATCGTCTCGGAGTTCCCAACAAAGACGGGGCCATGAGGTTCAGCCCTTACTGCTACTGTGACATAGGGTGAGGACGCACACGCACCACTCTTTCTGCAGCTCTCAGCTGCAGCTGGTTTTCTTATCATTTGGTCTATCAAATGATAAGAAAATGATTTCTTGTGTGTTATGTTGTTTCAGGGAGCCAGAGAAGCGAGTCAGTGAAAAGAAGCCAACAGGTTCAACATCTCCTCCTGTTGGTAGCCCAGCTCCCCCAGCCGCTCCCCCCCCTTCAACAGCCTCCATACGCTCAGCCCACCTGCCCTATGCACCTGCCTTCAGTGTCCTCCTGCAGTGCCTCAAGATGGTACGCACACAAACACACACATACACATATATAAAACAGCAGAGATTTCCCTGCTATCCTTAAAAGATATCAGATATTTTTTGGTTTGTTTTTCTCTCGTAGGAGACAGATTGGAAGGTGCTGAAGCTTGTTCTTGATAAGCTGCCGTGGACGCTGCAGTACAAAGTGCTGCTGCTGACATCACCGTGCAGCTTGGACCAGCTCTGTTCTACACTCTGCTGCATGGTATTTGAAATGAGTCTTACATACATACATACATACATACATACATACATACATACTACATACATACATCCTTTATGCATGATATGTTGCTTATTTCTTTGTCTCTGTGCTTGTAGGTGACGGATCGTCTGATCTCAGAGCGCTTGAAGAAAACCCCAGAGGGGTTTTCCCGCACGGATGTTCAGCTAGCGGTGGTTCCTGTCCTCACAGCGATCACCTCCTATCACAACCACCTGGAGCAGTCGAGACAGGTACTACCCATAAGCCGTCTGTGGAAAGAAAGTCAAATAGGCTTGTTGGATGTGTTAATGCTTATCTGCTTCACTGACTATCAAGTTTGGAGGAATGACATCCATAGTTGGACAATATCCCATTCATTGTTTCTGTTTAACCCACACAACATTGAGATAATCATCACTATACAACTGAAGGTGATTTCACACCATCCTTGGTTCGGACCTTTTGTCCAAACCGAAATAACAGTTGTGAAAGGTGCCTCAAACCGCGCTTGTGACCAATGGACCAAAATTTTGTCTGATCAAAAGAGGTTGTCCTAGTCTAGATCAAACTGAACAGTGTACCAGATCGTTTGCAGTGTGGAAACACTTTGTTGGATAGTGTAGAAGAAGAAAAACAGTGGAAGCGGCTCACAGGATTGCTTGTAGTCTTCATCTCCAACTATATAATGTTTGAACGAGGAGGACGTTCATTTTGCTGCTGGTAATACTGCAATAATATTACAGGTGTCAGGTTAATTCATTTTCTCCATTCAAACAGAATTACTCTTTT